TCCTTCCTTGAAAAAAAGATCAGTGCTAATTCTTTCCCATAAACTAAAGAAATAAACTTACACCCTGAGATTTTTTACTCTATTTTCACAGCAAACAGGTTTGTCTGCACGTAGATAAAATTGAACTATTTGGGTTTTCTTATAAACAGTATCTCCATTGCTACTTTGCCCCATAATTAATTTCTTCCCTCAGTTTTTGATTGCTTCATGGAACTTGTGCTTTATTTCAATTCTACTCCATTCATGTTAAAAGTACATGGCAGCATCTGAACAACATTCAGCCTGGGAGCTTCAGAAGTGCAGCATGACTTTCTAACATTTTGACATATGCCATCATTTCCAGAAAGATGTCCTTTACTCAACAAACACAGCCAAATATACTCTAGCACCTCAACTGTGGTCTTTGTCAGCTACACAGGACATTTCTTTTGCCTAAAATGAACTTTGTTATGGAAAATCCTCTGACACAACCTTCATCTGCTTCCCTTCTTTTCCTTCAGACTAAGAGAATTCAAAGTTGATACTGAACTGTATACTACTTGTGACAAATAAAATACAGATTTTTTCCTACCAATGGCTTCAGAAAACCAGCATGTTAATCTATTTGTAACAATGCTGAAAATAGAAATGTTAGCGTGTTTAAGGAGAGTTTAGATTTGCAGTGTTATTGTACATAACAATTTAGAATCTCAATACCATGCTGCAGAGAGATCAGCCAAAGAGAATGGCAGAATAGTGTAGTCTGTGATTACCATACTTGTATAAACTAAGGAGTTATAATGCCATAGTATTTTTGTGTGAAAAGATCTATTTACCTTAAACACATTAACTCTGGGGGATGCAAGAAACCGCATAAAAATATTTACATAGGAATTTCAAAAGGAAATTTTAAGGAAAAAAATGCAGAAGTGTTGCTAGAAAAATGCTGTTATTTCTCTTCAGCTGTGTTCCTAAATGAGTGCTATTTCAAGGGCATCTATACCAATTTTGAAAGATGAAACACAACTATGTTCCACCAATCACACTTAGATAACCTAAGAATGTGAAAATAATAGTCCACAATGCTTTAACAAGAATGTGCATCAATTTTTCTTACAGAATGCTTCACTTGAGAAGGCGTTTAACATGTGTCTTAATGCAGATAAATGAGTGAGACTGAACACCAGGCTTCTCCTCCACTTCCTCTGTAGTGACTCAAAGATTCCTTTCTGACTCCATTTCGCACTAGGACAGTTTGCTTTCCAAAGATCAGTCTGCTGTAGACAAGCCCTAAGCAGGTAAGAGTCAGTCTACATTACACAGCTTTGGTGATACTGGTTCCTTGCACTCTCCTTTGGCATCCACGTATAACTTTACAAGCTGATTTCTACGGTTTACATTTAGACCATAATACTATTAGTTGCTGGTGGAACCAGAAGACTTCATGTGCTTCTGCAGGTTTAGTAACACACCCCTGAGTGTCACTATAAAAGCAAGAGCAATTTCCTCTTCCCTTAGCTCTATTCTTTTCAAAGGCTAAGGTCTTCAGAAAGGTTTCCCCCCATTTCTGTTTCATGCTCAATAATGTACTGCGGAACAGTGACCTTTTATAAAAGCAAAACCAGAGCACTGCTTTAAAAGGTCACATGGCACAACTCAGAAAACACAGCAGATATTCTGGTATCCCATGGCAGCACTGGGAACACGGATGCAGGCGATAGCCTGACAAGTATCTGGACAAAACAGTGTGCTGGAGGCTTTTGTCTCTCATTAAAACTTACACTCGTTCTCCAGGACTGCCCTGGTCCGTCAGGATACCTTATACAATTTCCAGCTTTTCTGCCCTAAGTTTTCTTTACCCTCCTTCTCTTAGCATATTGCTTCACAAAACTTTTCTGATTTAGAATGATTCTTGACAGGGCAGAAAGCTTGGGGCAGTCTCACCAGAGCTCAGTAAATGTGTACAAAAAAACGAAGACTTTTGGTAACTTATCTTGTAAGATGGAGTTTTGGTCAGCTGTAGCTAACGGGTAACCAAAATACCTGTGGATGGCTTTAGGACTGCTGCATGAATGGATGGTGGCCAGCACACCAAAGCAAGGAGCCCATCCAGCAGTGTCACTGTTACCTGTGCTGCTGTCCTCTCCTGTGCCCTCACCTCCGCGTTCGGCAGTACTGGTGTTGCAACCGGTGGAGGAGGTGCTCTGCGCTTCTTCCCTTCTGGGTTTGCTGTCATTCCAGAGATGTTACCAAGGGACAGTGATGAACCCAGGCTACTGGAACGAGAATTCACCGAAGGGGAATTTGGTGCTGTGGAAAAACCCTGTAAATGGATTAACATTTTGGATTAACATCGCTCTTTAAAAACAATGGGAAAGAAAGAAGAAAAACAAGACACATCTGGTTACCGTTTAAACAATGATATGAATAATCACATATGTTCTTCTGCCAAACCTGCTGAATTGCAAATTCTAACTTTTGGAAACTTCCAAAGGTCAACTGGAACAAAGCTTACAGGCAGTATTAATAAGACAGGAGGCACGATAAGCACCTACTGTGGTTTAACAGTAGTATTGATGGGAACACTGCTGCTGCTTGCTATTTAAAATATAAAGTTCACATCAAGACACGTAATTACAGTTATCCAAATGCATTTGCAATTGCATTTAAATTACAAGTGTTACACGTTTCTGGAAGCAAGATTTACTCTTAAATAAGAACTCTGCATTAATAAAATGCTCTCGGTGTCTCAGGCTTGTCTATTTTGTTATCAATCTGTCTGATTTACCTGAGTCTTCTCTGCAGATTTACATAAGAGGAATACTGCTACCATTAAACTATTTCCAATTTACATGCATGATCAAGCATAACCACTTACAACTTATTGAAAACAACCATTTAACTTGGTGAAAAGAAGTCCTACTGACAGGCACCACTCTGGATTCTAACAGGCCCAAATGAAAGGAGAAATAGAAAACTACTTCAGTAATTCCTTACTGTTAAAAATTGCCTTAGTTCTCATTGAAAATGGAATAAAATCAATGGAAAACATTTAATGGATTTCAGAATCTTAATACATTTTTATATACAAACAGTCACATAGTAGGAAATCTACAAATATGAAAGATTAGAACTAGGATTGCTTGAAAATGTGCATTTTAACTTTAGTTTTTACTCTTAAATTCAGTATCTCTTTTTTTACTCTGCTAATAAAAATCTTGCAGAAACTTTTCCCTCAAAATCTGAGTCACCTTCTCCTTTTTTAATTAAGAGAACCTTCCATATTAAATTGAAGATTTTACTTTTTAATTAAGTTATTTGACTGTAACTTCTTCCCAGAAATATCTTCTGTGGAATCACCACTGATACCACTTCACCATGACCTGGAGCTGAATAGCTCTTCTGGAAACATAGACTGATGAGCATGGTTGATAATGCTGTTCTTATCACAACACAACAAGCTACCACAATTGCAAAACTCTCCCATAGAGGACGAAAAGCTCTCTGGTGGAATTTTGTCCAAAACCACACAACACATACTGGCAGGAAATTTAAAGGCCACCCCAAATGCCATTACTTAAAAAAAAAAATAAATTCTTTCCAGAAGTGCCAAGTTCAAGCTTAGGTAAAAATGAAAAACAGAGGGAAGCAAAGTTAAAAAACACAATTCATTTAGTTTTAGGACCATTCAGGAAGCACTGATACAGCATTGAGAGCTAAAAAACAGAGCAATGCAAAAATATATGCAATACAGGCTCCTTTACTGCCTGGTAAAGTTCCATGTTCTGTAGGTTCCTGTGAAAGCAACTGAGATGCAAACAGATTTGTGCCTTGTCCTGCATTTACTGTGTGTGTGATACCAATTACTGACCTAGACGCTTTTGTTAACTTTTATGTTGTACTCTGCACAGCACTCTTAATCTTGGAATAATGTATTTAGCACAACTGAAGTATGATACCAGTCTTCTCTGACTGCAAGTAGTGTTTGCCCCATCTTTTACATCACCAACTTCTCTGAACTGAATGGCACCAATAGCATCTTTACCCTTCTAGGAAATGAAGAAAAAAAAAGCTTGAAGTAGAAGGTATCATTTAAAAGATTAGGTATCATCTTATAGAGAAGAAGTCTTGTCTTGGCCCTGTATCTTGGGCAGTGGAAAAAATAATAATCTCATCTCTAAGCCAAAAGTTTTAAGTCATTATCAGTGCAAGGTCCTATCAAACAAAGTTTGTTTACTCCCACAGAAATTAAGGGCTCATGGAGTGAAATACAAAGTAGTTTCCTCTTTTCACACATCTACAAAACAACTGAACAAAACAATTTCAAAGTGATTCTGCAGGTATGCTTTGACTATTAATTCTTTAGCCTTCTAGATAAAAGAGTGGAGGAATTTTTGACAAAGACATATGAAAATAATAAAAAAAGCCCTAAGACTTCCCTCCTTGCACTACAAATGCAGAATACTGGTAAGATGATAGTCCATAGCCAGTTTAAAATGAATATTCAATTTTATCTCAAGTTCTTGTAGCTGAAGAGCTATCAGAATCCTTTTCCAACCTACAGGTCATTGGGAAGGAATACAGTGATGACCAACTAAACAGTTTAAAGCTGGTTTGTTCTGTTTTTGAGCTTGGATTTCCTAACAGAAGATACAGGAGGGAAAAAAATGTAATGCTTCCATGATACTATAAGTAGTTTATAATAAAAAGACTTGAATGATTAAAAAAAACCCCAACCTTGCAAATTCATCTGTGTTTTCTTTTCCAAGTCCAACCTAGATCGAGCCCATTATTCCCTTACTGAGCATTTCAAGAATGCTCATGTGAATACACTTGCCCTAAAACAAAAACTCGCCCCAGCTTCCCAGGGAATGGAATGAGGACAGTTTTGAACTAGTTTTGAAAGTCTCATGCAGCAACAAGAGCTTTGCCTAACTGGAGGCAGACCTTCAAATTCTCCCATGTGTGTAGTCATTTTCATTAGCTTTAAGAAGAAAAAAACAACCCTGGACACAAAACACTGACACAAGTGATTATGGCACGACTTGTCTTTTCTTGTAAAACTAATACAGAAAGACACCTGACCCAGCTTTTATATTTTATGTTGGGTTAGATGCAATGCAGTTTCTTTCCAAATTTTGGACGTTTGTTTTTCAGGCAGTTTAGCAAGGCAACTATTAGGAGCATAAAACATTAATCAAGCAAAATTGCAGGGACATGATATCTACATGCCAAATACTCCAACCATCTCTCATTTCTTGTTTTTCTAATTTGTTATCAAAGAACTGATTGAATTGCTCAAATTAAAGCAGTGTAACTGAGGAAAGCCAAGCTCAGGAATTGAAGCCAATGTTGCTGGCTAAAAAAAGTCAGCCCTTATCCTCAGTTTCATTTGACAAACTGGTTAACATGAATACTCCGCTCAGAATCCAAATCAGTTCACAGAATCCATGTGTTTCATAGGAAAAAAAAAGGAAAAAAAGAAAAAAAAAATCAATTCATAAAAGAAAATTCATGGAAACTAATTCAATATAAAGAGCTTTCAAAAATGTCTCTTAACCTGCAAAATCACAGTCTTTGTTAAGTCACTAGTGTTCTAGTGCTTTGTTACCAGTTCAAATAGCAATTAATAAATGCAAGCTAGCAGGAAAAAGAAACAGTTTTGTTTGGGGTTTTTTCCCCCTGAGTTAAAGCAAACCCACTACACAACCAGATAGACCAGCACAGGTCAGCAGTCAGGTTAGACACTAGCTGGGCATAGGTTTGGAATATGTACTGAAGTACAAACATGGATTAGAGTCCATTTCAATTCCATGAAATAGATATTGGAAGAGGCAAGAAACAGATGCTGTACCAACCTATGGTGCCATCATGTGTCAACACTATTTCGTGTTAAACTTGCCAGCTAGCTTCTTTCCTTCTTCTTAAATTTCTGAAATCCAAGGAACTTCCTGATTTTTTCCTGATGTACCAGATGTTTTCTTTGGAGTTCAGCAATTTAATTTTAAGATTTTTATTTCCTACTAGTTCTTATAATTGAAATTTAGCTATCAAAGACATTTTTGAAGGGTAACTAGAGACTGCTAAAAACACAGAAGAATGAAGGCTAAGAGTAACCTGGTGAGGTGTGCATACCACTCTCACTTTAAGAAGACAACAAGCAGTCAGCCTTCTACAAGATTTCTAAAGTCCCATAGCCTGCTGAACTCAACACAACATAGATTAAGAGCCTAAGGCTGAGGCCAGTCTCTGTTCCAAGTTCATCAACCTAGAATGCAATTGTAAAATACCTTTTTCAAACTACCTCCTTTTCAAGAATAAACAGAAGTTCTCATATCCTATGATACTTTGAAAATTTTAAAGTCATATATAAATAAAGGTAAGAGTAATCTATTAAAAGTGTAACTGTGCTGCTGTGAGAATTCTGTTTTACAAAACCAGATGTGTATAAAAATGGAGATCAGCTTACAATTATTTTTAAAAGCTGTCCCTTATATATAACTTTTTTACCCAAAGCCCTGTTATTAGCATTTCCTTGACTTTCTGATGACACTAAGTGGCATTTAAAGGTCAGCAAGGAAGAGGCTGCAGATTGCCTGTGAGAGTGATTTGACTTCCTATTCCCTGTTCACACTGGTCAATAAAAATTTTTCAGAATGTCAAGTTCTTTTCTTGCGAGGTTGCTACAGACAAGCCTTTCTTCTGCAGCTCTTTGCCAAAACTCACATATTTGAGCTCCCAGTCTTGTTATGCAACTTCCTTCTCAGAAGTTTTTAAATCAGAAGTAATCAATTGAGCTGTTTTTAAGCCCTCAAAGTATCAGATGTATTAGCAAAAAGTAAGGGTTTTATTTTTTCCAAAATAGAGACAAAAAATAAAAGTATCATAAAGGATATTTTTTTTTTGCAAGTGTATTATGGGTAAATACGAAAGGTAAGATTTACAGCAGGCAGACAAATCCATCTATCCAGTGACAGCAATAATATTTATGCCTGCTAGACACTTAAACTCCATTAATGCAAACTTTTATTGATTAGCTGAATGATACCACAACCGGTTACAACTGCCCATATAAAATGCCAGACAGGTTGTCAGACCTACTGCACAAAGTGAACTTAGAGGCTGCTTTCCCTGACATGACACTGATATTGCTGACACAAAATTTGCACTAAAATTGACAACACAGAAACTGAATTAATCCAAGCTCCTGCTTCAAAACTAAAGCATTATACTGCGGTCATGAGATTGCTGGGAGACACAGTTAAAAAAAAACCAACAAGAAACAAAACAAAAAAGTTGTGACTACTCAGATTTTCCTTTCTA